GCCCTGACCCACACTAAACCCCTTCCCTCCCGCGTGTTTTCGGTCAGCGCCACTCCAGAGCGTCAGCGGCCGCATTCATGCCCGGCCAAAGCGGACGCGGCCGCTTACTCGCGCTAGCATTGGAGCGGAGTGTCGGCCAAGAAAGCGCCGCCCGTGTCGCTTCCCGGTGTAGGCGACTGTCGCGCATTCAAACGACACGACGGCCGCCCGTCCGTCCGTCTGCCGCCCACATTGTTGGCACGTGATTGCCGAGGCTTCTTCTCTGGCGCCAGCCGTCCGTCCCTCTATCGCCCACCATTGCTATAAAAATCGGTGGCCCGGCCATAGCCGCAGTCATCCACCTCTGATCTCTCTCCGCATCACTTCCACCATGTATCCCTTCCCCGACAAAGCTCTCGGCTCACGTTGAACCAGAAGAAGGAGGTGGCCGCCAATGCTGCCGGTTGGCTGGCCGGCAGGCAGCCGGAGGACGACAACATCCCAATAGAGGGTGCTACCGCCGACGAACCGACGACATCCTCTCCTCCGCGCAACCTCACCGGTGCATTGCACCATGACCATCGGTGAGGCCCATGTCCACTACACGGACATGGTGCGGGAGGAGCAGTTCCGAGAGGCGTAGTCCGACACCGCCTACAACCACCACCTCCTCCAGGAGCATTTGCAGGCGGAGAAGCAGCTCGTCGCCGGCAGAGCGGTTGCGCCGGACGCAAACATGTCGGAGCAAGAGGCGATGCTCGAGTCCTACCGCTCTGCCCGTGAGATTCACCTAGCCCGCTGGCGGTAACGGCAACGAGTGGCCGAGGTGGCGGCCTCCGTCAAGGAGTGCGATGACGAGGCGCCCGAGGCGGTGTTAGACGAGACCGACGAGGAGGAGGAGGACATCGCCGAGTCCGCGCCCCGCCGCGACGACCAAGAAGCCGACAAGTCCGCCGACGCCGCCAGTAGCAAGGAAGGGTAGTGCACGGTAGGTCGCCGCACCTCTGGTCCTAGGAAGGCCACCGCTCCTCCCCTCCTGTCGACGCGAAGCTTGGTGGGCTCAAGATCGTCGGCCGGCTAGTCGCTTGACGGCGATGTGGAGGTGGACAGTTTCACTTCCCGGTCCTCTCGAGGCAGAGATGGAGACGGTGAAACTTCAGTTCTCTTGGTTCATGGTCGGACACGGATAACAGACACCGGCGACAATTTAGACCTAGCCGGACGAACTTCGCTTAGTTGATATAAATGTAATGAAATCCGGCCGTGTTTATATGATATCCGATTGTGTTCATATGAAATCTGGTCGTGTTTGATTGAATTTCCTTCTGTTAATTTCACTTGTTGTCAAAATGTATGCGACTAGCGTTGAATGGCTGCTTTCCGCATCTGTGTCCGTGGACTGGTCCCCCTGTCCGCGGGCGGATACGGGAAGAAATTTGCGGGTTGCCCTTGAGATGTCCTTACTCCCTCAGGTTCATATTAATGGTTAATGATTTACTATAAGTAATGCAATTAGTGCAAAAACTTCAGAATAGAGTGTAAAAACTGGAATTCGCTTTGTTTCTTTCTTCTTTCTTATTTGAGATCAAGTGCAGATAGGTCGAGAGAAGTAGGAACAGTACATTCACAACAAAAAGTATAGTAAAAGGAAGTTAGTCGCGGAGGGGAGGAGACTTGGTGGCAGGGCAGTATGCATGCATGCGCTCAGTTAAACTCGCTGCATCATCTCATTGCGTGCGTCGTTACGTACGTACGCTCTCTGAGACCGGATTAATTAACCAAGAAGGCTCGCTCACATGCGCCGCGACTACGTTACGTGCTGATTAAATTAAGCAAAAACCAGCGACGAGCTGACACACCCTCTGGACTCGCGGCGCGCCGCGCGCGAACGCGGTCTGTGGGGAATAATTCTAGACGTACGCGCTCCTTACAGGCAATCACGGAGCCCTTCCCTTATATCTCTTCGCCCCCCCTGATTCTACCTGGAGTGGTCCCGCCCCACACATCTTCTTTCCAATCACATTTTCCCAACTCAGCCTGTAATTAATCTTTGTCTGTAATTGCCCGTACGTGTAGCATTACCGAATTCTAGTATTGCTAAAAAACATTGCTGGTGTTTGCCAAAATGAAATCTTATACAGGTTGTACATTATACACACGCGCACACACACACACAAAAAAAAAATCATCAGATGAAGTGGTGCTTATGAATGCCACAAGCACTCGTTCGCCATGGACTTTTAAATTCCATGTTTCTGCGCGCAAGACTGTGCTAATCATGCATGGACTTGACCCACCGCGATGCTGCTAGTGGTAGCTATGGCGAAGAACAAGTCCCCATCGTACTGCTGCCACCATATAAAACCCAACTACTGTGCTGTGCAGGGAATATATACTCGAATTAATATACTACTAGAGGGCTAGCTGATTGTTAGGTGTCTCCCATCGGTTCGTTCACCGCACAAAGCTAGCCTCCTTGTTTAATCCAGTCGTCCACGTCCGGGCTGATGAACTTTCATGCGAAAGGACGGGGCCCGGCCGATTGATTAAATTAACCAAATCGCCACTCCTCTCGCTCGCTCGCTCGCTAGCTCAATCATTTCGGCAGGCAGCGGAAGGAGGAATCATGCCCATAAAATAGCAACTCCCGCTTAAACAAATGAGATTACGTTTACCGACTTGTGGTGCGGCGAGGGGTCTTTGGACTTTTGTACCGCATCAAAGCATTGTTTTAATATAAACTACTAAACCTTTTCATCGCTAAACCGGCGGGCAGCTGGATGCGTTATAAAACGGAAAAGAAATCTGCGCTTCAGTGATTGTTCGTTTGGTATATATGCTCTCTCCCTCGCTTGACCCTGTCGCTACTGGTGGTTTAGCGGTGGTTGGATGGATCTCAACTAACAGCAATCGAAACAGGGGGTGTGGGTAGGTGCCCTGCTGGATCAGCGTATGGTAACCCATTTTTGTAGTCGCTTCTTCGCTTCTTTTCCCACATAGGAGTGCTAACTAATAAGCAGGGACAGATCACCGGCACAAGTAAAAAAATAAGAGATGTTATGATGCCGTTCGAGATCATCCACACATTCTTCCTGGCAGGCAGGCTATGGAATGGAACTCATGCTTTCCTCTTGAAGAAAAAGGTGAGATCCAAATTTCACTTTTATTCTCTAGCTTGGTGTCCTTTCCTTTCTCAATGGGAGGAGTGGTTTGAGTTTCTGTTGCCCAATAGGGCGCGTTTGTACCCCACCGTTTCGAAAAGAGAAAAAAAAAAACAGGGTGTGTACCCTACTGTGCTGTATCACTTCACTTCCAAGTAAATGAAACGGGGCGAGGAGCCTCTTGATGAATTTTCATTATTGATTTATTTGATGCAAACAAAACAAGTATGGGTTTTTTTTTGTTTTTTTGAGAATGCAAAACAAGTATAGTAGCATCACATTTTTCGTGCACTTCTCTGCAAAACAAGTATAGTAGTATCACATTTTTCGTGCACTTGTTTCTTCTTGGATTGGGGATGCTGCTACTCATGTCAATGCCACGTCTGCTTTGTCTGTGTCTTGGCCCAAGGTGCATGAGTTGCTAGGACAAAAAACCCAAACAGCGAGCTACGTACTATTGTCATGGTTAACACTTGCACGTTACTGCTCCGTTGAAGTGTTGATAAAACCGAGATCAAGACTTGCAATGCACGGGTTTGGCCCTGCCGTTTGCCCAAACAGTATAGTAGTAGTACAACTTTGCGACCCAAGAACCGAGGCAAGGCAAGGCTACTACTGTACTCTGCAAACTACTCCACTTCATGACCTACCCTACCCTAACTAGCTTAACTTTCTCTGTCAGAAATGCCTTAGCATGACTCGACAAAACGTAACAATGAAGCTTTGCCACCGTGACAACTAGAGGACAGACGGACGCACGCATGAATCCACTCAGCATTTCAGCACAGGAAGCAGCCATGGGTGCAAATGCCTAGTCATAAGATTCATACCTGACATGTCAAAGCACTACTGTAAAAACACGCAAGACCTCCAAAATCTTATACCAGCTACCAGTTGCAAAATCAGGGAAAACGCAGCGCAGAAAATCTTTGCATAGCTGATAATTAAAGGCGATCCGCACTTCACATCAAAGTCGACATGCTTATAGTACGATAACATGACCAGCATCGATAGCAAGATGTTCAACAGCGTCGGATCCTCGAGGCGAACAGAGAAGAAAACTCCAGATTCGGCATTAAGTCTACTACAGGGAGCAAAACGATCCAAAAGCGCCACTGTTCGAAACATTTCACTCGTCCTCCTGGCTGCGGAGCCTGGCGAGCTTGTTGGTGACCACGACGTCGAGCTGGGCGGCACGCTCCACTATCGCCTTGCGCTTCTGCGTGGACACGTTGTGCGCGATCTCAGCACAGTACGTCCTGTTTGCGGACAGACGATAGTTATTAGCAAAGACAACTAGATCGGGCACTGGACAGGGAAACAGGGAAGATGATAACTGCAGCTCCCGTAAGCAATCAAGCTTGGTGAGTCTCAAGACGCATACCTGTTGTGCATCATAAGCAGCTCCAGCTCAGAGACGTTGTGCACCACAAACTTCTTGAACTTGTTTGGCAGGTAGTGCCTGGTCTTCTTGTTAGAACCATATCCAATGTTGGGCATCAAGGTGCATCCCTTGAACTTCCGCCTGACGCGGGAGTCTATACCCTTTGGCCTGCGCCAGCTTTGCTGCAAATAAGAGCAGAACAGATGAATTAATTAGGGCTCCTAATTAATTAACGCAATGGATAGCAGCTTCAGCGACTATAGCAAGAGAACTACAGAAAGGAAGTTAACAAAGAAGGCATCCAACTATTCAAGCATTCAGTGTACTACAATGGTGATGAAACTATTGATAACAAAGCAGAAAAATAGATGTGGTGTGGAGATAATCAATTGTACTGAATCCTTTATGGCGACTAATACATAAGCATACAAACATTGCAAAGGAATAACTGAGTAAGCCCTTGTAACCAAGTAACTAGAATTAGCACCAACTCCTAGATGGCATATAGTGCAGCATGCAATTTCAGCTAGAAGGGCATGTCCAAATACATAGATCATCGCCAGAATGGTGAAGCAGACATGATCCGATCATACATAAATGCTAGGGTATCTGACTTTGCCATCCAGAAATATAGCACAAGTGCCGTGCACACAACGATAAAAACTAAACAAGGATCACGCAGACGCTTGGAGCAAGCAACGGACTGATGTAACAAGCTTCCACGGTATATAATTTTATACGACCATGCTAAATGCAACAGGAATGCACAACCGCATTCACAAGGCCACACGCAACAACATACGTACACAACATATATGAAAACAAGCTCTCACAAACAAACAGGGCACAACTTAAAAGGAAATTTACAGTATCACAGCACACCATAGGCCCTGACTGAATGACCCCAATGCACTATTACAGTTCATCAAACAACAAAGCCATCCCGTACTGTGCTCCCTGCTAAACGGTAACCACCATACCCTGGCGCTAGCAAATTAACGGGACATCTAAATCAGATCCAGGCATCCATGGCAATCAGCTGAGGTCGGGAAAACGGCCTGAACCACACGTGAACAAAGCTAAGAGGCTGTTTATCCTATCCTATGAATCCATCTAAAAAATGGCGCGGCTCTGGAACAGAAGCTGGTTAGTGGCGGCGAGGGCAAGCGAGCGGTCGGGGTCTCACCTTGAGGCCGATGTAGCGGTCGCTGTGCGCCCTCTTGAAGTGCTTCACCCTCTTCTTCACGATCGCCGTCTTCAGGATAGGCACCGCCATCTGCACAGCGCACGGCGTAGGCCAGCCGACGGGAAGAGAGGGTGTCAGTTCTTAGGTCGAGAAGAGAGCAACGGATTTCATGCGGCGGCGGCGGGTTGGAGGGACGTACCTTGCGAGGCGAGCGGCGGCGGCGGCGGAGATGGGAGGGAGTGTGAGGGGGGAGAGGAGTCTAGGGTGGTGGGCAACGCGAGAAGAGATAAAACCCTACTGGAGGGTGGGCTCGGTCCCGGTGTGGTGCCATCTCGGCGATCGAATGGGCCGCACGTACATCCGGACGAGGCCCGGATACGTAAGCCAATTTACCGCGTGCATGCTACCGGGCCGCCAAGAATGGGCGTTGCTTTGCCTCGCCTCAGCGCGGAGTTTAGATTAATTATGGCGCACAACTCAGATGTGTGTGTCTTGGGGCATAACAAATACTTCCTCTTAAACCAATATAAGAGCGTTTAGATCGCTGAGGGAGTAGGTACCAATTAAAGGTGGATTATATGTGGTTGTTAGTCGCATCAGGACTATATTTGGAAAAGTGTTTGTCTACCCCGCGCTTCCTGATCAGTAGCCTTTTTTGGCTGACTGCTCGACGAATGCATTCGTTGAATAAAGCTCTCTGAAGTTCCCCGCGAAAAAAGCTTATGTGCATACAGAATAGGACTCTGAAATTAGCACTATAAGTAGGTCCCGTCTTCTAGCCTCAAATTGCATTGTGAGCAGCACCACCGATAAGGAAGAAGAATAGAGGTAGGCTTAAACCCTAAAGAAACTTAACATTTTTTATATTTTTTAAAATATTTTACTTAAAACTTAACATTTTTCTTAAAAACTTAACATTTTGCTTAAACCCTAAATTTTTTTTTACTTCAAACTTTTAAAAAAGTTCACCATGAAATTTAAAATTCTTAATACAATGTAAAAACATTGATAACATAACTTTAAAAAAATGACTATAGCATTAAAAATGTTTGTGAAATTTAAAAATACACTCATGAGTTTCAAAAAAATGTATGGGACATTCTTGGAAAATGTTATACAATGTAAAAAATGTTCACATGTTCCAAAAAAATGTTCTTAGTATTTATTTGAAAAAAAGAAAGATGTAAAAGAATCCTTATAGTTTAAAAAAATGTTTCATGCCATTAATAAATATACAATGTGTATATAATAAAATGTTTAGCATGCATTTGAAAAAATGTACATCATATATTTGAAAAGTGTTCAACATGTATCAAAGAAATGTTACGCGTGTGTGAAAAAAGTTTACATATGTTAAAACAAAGGAAAAAGAAAAAAAAATAGCAAGAAAAACAAACGAAAGAAGCAAAAGAAACCAACACTGAAAACAGAAGGGAAAAAGGAAATATGGAAAATAAAAGTAAGCACTTGGTCTACCTTTGTTCCGATCACTCCGGCGGACTCTCGGTCTGTTTTCAAGGATAGTGCGTCCGTCTGCCCGACCTTAGAGTCTTGTGCGGGTGTGGCGATAGGGGTAGATCGCATTTGTAGCTTCGGCACCGAGGCATGTAGGGACATGTCTACGTCAGGATCAAGTCCACGTTGGGCTACAAGAGGGAAGGAGAAGGAAGCTAAAGGTCTGGAGGTGGCAATGAAGAACATGAGTCTGCAAGAGGGAGAGCTCGATGATGTTTACCTTGGAGAGGAAGAAATCGGGCAGCTCAGCAAGGAAGCGTGTCGGCTTGCGTTTGTTAGGGTGAACACCTCTAAGACTTTCAGTAGTGTAGCTCTGAAGGGAACAATGAAGTTTGTGTGGAACCTTGCTCATGTGTCGGAGATTGGGCAGGTAGATAACAGTATGTTCGTCATCTATGTTTTCTGCTTGGGTGATCGCAAGCGGGTGTGTTCCAGGGACAATGGATCTTTTGTGGACATATGGTTCTGATCAACAAGTTCGATGGAAAGCATCTGCGAGAATCGGTAAAGCTCGAGAGTTTGTTAGTTTGGGCACAAATTCACAAGATCCCTGATCTCTACCAAAAGGAGCCAATTGATATAGTTAGGAGTGTGGAGCAAAACCCAATCAAATTCTTTGAAAGAAATTACGTTTGTGTCCGTGCAAGATCGATGTCACAAAACCCTTGATCCGCTAGGCACCACTAAACTTGGTTGGAGAGAAAATTTTCTTGGCATTAAATATGAGAAAATCAGCTATTTTGGTGAAGTTTGCGGGCTACTCGGTCATGACATGGAGTAATGTGGCGATTGGCTACACCCATCGGATAACATGCAGTGGGGGAAGTGGCTTGTGGCAACGAGAAGAGTGGTTCAAGGGGGCCAGGAAACTGATCGTGTCTAATCTTTGTACCTCGAGCTAGATTTTGATACTTCTCCAACGTATCTATTATTTTTTATTATTTCATGTTGTTATATTACCATTCTTGGGTATTTTACAATCATTTTATAGCAATTTTATATCATTTTTCTTGGGACTAACCTATTGACATAGTGCTTAGTGCCAGTTGCTATTTTTTGCTTGTTTTTTACTTCGCACAAAATCAATACCAAACAGAGTCCAAACGCAGCGAAACTTTTTGGTGATTTTTTCTGGACCAGAAGACACACAATGGGCCAAGAAAGTACCCAAGGGGGGCTCCGAGGGGAGCACAACCCACCAGGGCATGCCTGGGGCCCAGGCGCGCCTAGGTGGATTGTGCCCACCTCGGCCGCCTCCCGCACCGCCTCTTTGCTCTATAAATACCCCAAATATTCCAGAAACCCTAGGGGAGTCGATGAAAATCAATTCCAGTCGCCGCAAGTTCCAAAAACCACAAATCCAATCTAGACACCATCACGAAGGGGTTCATCATCCTCATTGGCGCCTCTCCGATAATGTGTGAGTAGTTCATTGTAGACCTACAGGTCCATAGTTAGTAGTTAGATGGCTTCCTCTCTCTCTCTCTCTCTCTCTCTCTCTCTCTCTTTCTCTCTCTCTCTCTCTCTCTCTCTTTTGATTCTCAATAAAATGGTCTCTTGGAGATCTATTTGATGTAACACTACAGAAATCAGGCACTTTGCCATCAGCCATGGCTGACGGCAACGACATGCCAGGCTGACGGCAAAGACCTTTGCCGTCAGCCAGTAGACGATAACAGGTCCGGCTGAATAGGCTACGGCAAAGGCATATTTGCCATCTGCTGACGAACGACAAAGATGCAAAGGGCTTTGGCGTCTGCTAACAGATGTCAAAGAGCCTGGACGACACACGTGATAGTTCAGGTCCGTTAAGTGGTTGACGGCGTGCTTTGCCGTCAGCTGGCAGACGGCAAAGGCCTTTGCATCGTTGTTGTTAGCTAGCGAACGACAAAGATGCAAAGGCCTTTGCCGTTTACTGGCTGACGGCAAACTGCCAAATAGGCCATCCCACTACACCCCAGGTTATACAAGTAGCTGCCAGATGGCAGCTTTGCCATCTGCTAGCGGACGACAAAGACCTTTGCCGTCTGCTAGCAGACGGCAAAGTGGCTATATAGCCCCTGTTTTTCCTGTTATTTCCTAAATTCATTTAATTTGACAGAATTTCACACACACATATATATATATACACATTTCAAAATAATTTTAACAATCATACCAACAATAAGTTTCCAACAACATATACAAGTTTCCAACAACATTTCCATACATACATATCCAACAAGTTTGCAACAAGTTTCCATAAACAAAAAGGAAGCACAAGCACAAGTAAAAATTTGCAACAAGTTTCCATCAATGCAAGCTTCCTCATCTCAAGCAAATCTGCAAATTAGGAAAGATGAAAGTTAGAAGAAGAAGAAGACTAGCTAGAAAAAGAAGAAGAAGAAGATTTCTTCTTCTTCTTCTTCTTCTTCCTTCTTCTTCTTCTTCTAACTAAGGTAGGTAAAAATGCTAAGTGTGTAGGTCATTTTAGAGCTAAGCTAGGTAAATAGGTCATTTTGGAGCTAACCTAGGTAGTTATGCCATTTTTGAGCTAACTAAGCATATTTATTCATTTTGGAGGACAAAATGGTAAGTGTAGGTCATTTTAGAGCTATCCTAGTTAAAATCAGTCATTTTGGAGCTAGGTAAGGTTATTTTGTCATTTTGGAGGAAAATAAACTAATATATGATAGTTTGGAGCTAAACCATGGTTATTATGCCATTTTTTACCTAAGTAAGCTAATTATATCATAAATGAACTTGGTAAGCTAAGTATTGATCATTATTTAGCTATCCTAGGTAGTAATGACATTTTTCAGCTAACTAAGCATATTAAGTCATTTAGGAGGAAAAAAGCTAAGTATAGGTCATTTTATAACTATCCTAGGTAAAGTATGTCAGTTCAGAGCTAAGTAAGGTTATTATGTCATTTTTGAGGAAAATAAGCTAAGTATAGGTCATTTTGGAACTAAACCAAGGTTATATGCCATTTTTTACCTAAATGCGCTAATTATGTCATAAATGAAGTAGCTAAGCTAACTATAGATCATTATTGAGCTATTCTAGGTTGTTATGCCATTTTTTACCTAAGTGAGCTAATTATGTCATAAATGAACTAACTAAGCTAGCTATAGATCATTACTGAGCTATCCTAGGTAGTTATGCCATTTTCTAGCTAACAAAGCATATCAAGTCATTTTGGAGGAGAAAATGCTAAGTATATGTTATTTTATAGCTATCCTATGTAGAATATGTCATTTTGGAGGTAAGTAAGGTTATTCTGTCATTTTCGAGGAAAATAAGCTAAGTATAGGTCATTTCTTAAGCTAAGTATGCATTTGTTAAGCAAAACACTTGGGAAAACTTACCATCATCAGGGAGGTGAAGGACCGGTCGGGGTTGCGCCACCGTGAGACGCAGAAGGATCAGTCAATCCTTTTTGGGAGGCGTGCTGCACCAAAGATCATTTGCAATGTTTAGTTAGCATGATGCAACTGAAATGTGAATACTAGTAACTAATGACCATTCAAATGAAACTCACCGTGTCCGCTATACCAACCTGGGGCATCGACGGAGGGGTCTGGCCGGTTTTC